ATTGGGGGCACATGGACGGATTTGACGGAGGGGCGGCGATTGCTGAAGAAGGTCGTCAGCTGTCGGCCACTACGAAAAGGAAGGCGAAAGAAAGGCCTGGCTTTCTGGCTGGGCTGACTACGGCGCATCGGGCGACATCATATTTGGATGAGCATGGTACACTTTCAGGTCATCGTCAGCCATTTGAGCGCCTCAGCCGACCTTGGCTGTTGGCTATTAATGATAAGCGTCGAAGATACGGGTGGCTTATCTGTTCGAGGCAAGGTACCTCTGGCAGGTTGTTGACAACACAGGCCGTGTGCGCGTAGAGATATCGTGCATCTCTCGGTTTTTGTGTATCTTTACTGTGGAGAGAGGGTAGGGCGAGCGTACGGCGTACGGCGAGGTACTCGACAATACGTCTCTCCAAACGGCACAAACCTAATAAGGTGAAGGGTCAGTTCCAGCCCCATGCGTCCTAAGTTCCAAGCCACACCGCAGCTGGGGTGAGTCTAACTTGACCCTGCACACCCAGCATCACGTTGCTGGCTCCACGGTCGAGAGTCGAAAGAGCTGACCTTGTACACAGTGTGTCGCACACTCATTCCCGCGACCACGCAGGTCAATCGCAGTTCGCTTTCTGTGCAATTCCTATTCCGGGCGGAGATTCAACTTTGATTGATGGCTGAGTTGGAATACGACGGTGAGGACAGACTTGAGCTGGGCCTTATTTGCCTCTGTATCAGCCGTGCATAGTTTCTTTGTTTCGACGTTGATTGCGGTTACCCCAAAAGCATCTTGGGTTGCGACAGCGCGCCTTTCCCGCTGTCGCTGGACGATGGGTAAGGGGACAACGACTCAACCGTCCCTTACACTCCTCCCTCCTCAATTGGCAACTCTGTCTTTGAGTTTCGGAAACATCCCTGTGTGATTAGGGTATTAAAGATACACAACTCAACCGCGAATACTTGCTAACATCGCGACAATTCAACAACAACACACGTCCTCCAAACAACCCACATGGCGGAGCCTACAGGTCCTCCGTCACCGCGGCGCTGGCCCCAAGGTTGACCGCCGCGGGTTCTCCATCGTGATGGATACCTCTAGCTTGGGAGCTTTTTTAACAACTTGACCGCCGCAGGTAGTCGCAAAGTACCTTACCCATGGTTCCATGGGGTCCCATGGAGGTTGAGAAGAAGATGGCCCGCGACGTGCCCATGTGCCCACGTCGCGTTGTTCTGCTGGCCCCCCGCCAACTGGAGTCGCTGAAACGAAGTTCCCACCCGTCGACCTCTTCCCCGGACTGCCGACAGGGTCAAGCAGGGCCTTCTGGGACAAACAGTTTCTGGGTACGGGGGGAACATCACCCGTGGCCTTCCGGAATTGCAGCGATATCCACACATGATTTTCGCCTAACAGGTGTGGGCTTCTAGGCCCCTTGGATGTCTTTTTTGTCATTCATCCCGTCCCTCTGCCGGATCCTCTGGGTAGGTATCTACAAGGTACAGGGGAAGGCTCCCTTCCAGAAGGCTGGCTTTGTCTTTGGCGAAAGGGGGACGGCAAGACGGGTTTGACGGGATCACCAGTGACAGACTTGCAGCAGCCTCAGTGCTTCCCTGCCGGGCATCACGTCTCGACGAATACTCCGACACGGCCACCACACGCCACCGTTCGTCCCGAATCATTATTATTTTAATCGCAACCGCGGCGCAGGAGTGTCAAGTCACTTGACGCACCCACAAACCTTGAATCGACTCTATCCCGGCGTTGTGAAGCCAACGATGTACCCCGTCATCGACACATAAGGCATAATCGAACCTACACCTCGGCAACAGCGTGCGTGGCGGCCTTGCGGCATATCGTGTTCGTCGAAAGCTTACCAATCTGTCGGAGATGGGCAGCACCAAGACCAAGGCAGAAGACGGCCGTGAAACTCTGGTTGATGCGAGTTGCGACTTGCGCTCTTACCAGATTGCCCGTTTCCATTTTCAGTTCCCCCCTCCACCCCTTGAACTCCACCATCGATAACACAAACTCGATTCATGAACCTCGATACCATACCCCTTGATTTCATGAATGGTTGCTCGCTCTGCCCACGAGGCCTTTTAGGTTGTCGTAGGGTTGCAGAACCCCAATCGCGATCTGACTCCTCCCACACAACCACACACTTTTTTCTCACGATTTAGAATTGTGCGATATCGTCGACGTTGGGAGGAGGCATTGTCAATGTCCGTATCCGCTTCCTTTGTCGGCCAACCCCTGTCATCCCGTGACCCATCTATCAGGGTGCCCTTGTCACCGTCTTCTTTCCAACCCCTGGCTTTGGGACGTGGAGTTCCCGCTGGGAAGAGAGCGAACACACACAAAAGACGCGGCGACGGTCTCGGTCCACAGTATCAAGCAAAACCCGCCAGCAGCAAGCAAACCGCCCTCTTCTTTCCCAGACACCGGGCGGTGACAGCAACAAAGTGTTTCCACGCGCACGCAGGAGGCGGAACGGGGGGCCTTGCTGCACGCGTGCAAGCCGCTGCTTGTTGGGCGTGGCCCCCCTCTGTTACTTGGACCAACGCAGGCCACAGCGCACACTCCCACAGCTCTCCACTACCCGGAGACGAGACCGCTTTCCTCTGCCCAAGCTTGGGAAATGTGACAGTGTCGTCATCAATCGCCGACAACCTCGAAAGAAGATGAGGTGGGCTGGCGGGCGTGGCCCATCGCGCGCCGGCCGGCCGGTTGACCGGGGACCTGGTAAACAACAAGGGCAACGAAGACCTCACAATCACACCTCTCCTATTTTTTTGGTGTGCTGCGTTGCAATTTTGAGAAAAATCTGAAATTTCGAAATTTCGAGTGAGGAGTGCTCAGATCACGTACAAGATCGAGATTCGCCAGAGAGAAAATTGATGCCCTCTTTGGCGAGATTGGAATTCCTTCCTATGCGAAGGCGAGATCCGAGGGAATGACGGTGCCTGGAAAAAGTAACGATGCGCCTCGAAAATAGAAAGGCCACACTTTAGCAGCAAGAAGCATCAACGGGAGCAGAAACGCAGCCACAGAGAGCAGCAGAGCCGAGCAGAGCAGGGGTGTCTGAGTGAACCGTCCGCCCGGCACTGCAATTTCGTGCAGAAGCCAGCTGAGTGTGTCTGTGGTTCGATCAACCAGAACCATCAGTCTTGTCTTCTCTTCTTCATGTCCGTCCCCGTCAGGCCCCTTTCCATGAACAATTACAGACGATTGTCTAAGACACATGGTCGGAAAGGGCGAGTTTGGTCGTCATAATCCATTCTCCTCCCCTTTCTGGACCGGGGCTTTTGGGGCGTGGTACAACTACATTACACAGGACAAGTTTGCAACTTAGACCCATTTCAACCTGGCCAAGGAATCAAAAGACACGGTCTAGAATCCAAGAAGTAAGTCTTGGTTTTAGGTGCAGTTGCTTCTAACAGTTTCCAAGTAAAAGCGAAAAGAATGCGCGACGTGTCCTCGCAAAGACCAACAACATACAACCATCTGAACGCGCCGTCGTCTCTCTTACAAGACGCGCACACCACAAACACAACCTGCGATAATGCCTGGACCTTGTCCGCCGTCAGCTGGCCCCCAAGCTATTCCCGTAGACCTTGGACTTTTGAGACTTGGACACACACACTGCTGCTACTGCTACTGCTGGTGCTGATGCTGCGAAATGGGTGGCCGGCCGTCCAAGCACACCAGCTTGACGCTGGGGTGTGACTCTAACAATCAGCTGCCCATGGCTTGAGGGTACAACTGGCTGGGGACTCCTTTTTTAGGGAGTGGACGGTCCAAGGACATGAGGGATAACCACCATTGGTCCTCTCGCCGCAGCCAGAGGCTGTCACCACCTGGCAACGGACCCCCCAGCCCACACGCCCCTTCTGCATCTGCGATTCCCGTCGGCGGCGCTCTTTGTTCGGCTTTCGCTGTCGCCGACGCCGCTGCTGCTGCTGCTGATGATGATGATGGTGCTGCTGCAATGGCGACCGGTTGGTTGCCTTGTGGTTTGGGTTTCTGCGCGGTGGTGCTGCAGCCTGGCTTGGGCCTTCAACCACACATGTTCGCCTTTCTTCGCCTTCATTGCCAGAGAAGTGCAGGCCAAGCAGCTGCAGCACTGCAGCACTTGCGTACAGGGCGCGCGACCTTGGTTTGACGTATCCGTGTTGCTGATGTTGTCGGTTGATCGATTGTCATCGACAGGTGAGGGAAGGTAGGTACCAACCATGGTACTTGGGGCGGATCACTCAGCGTGGAGGCGGCAAGACTCACACTCGTGGCCGGTAAGGTACTCCTCAGATACCTCCCCATCCTGGCCCTTCCTTGGGTTGCATCCGTCCGGTACCGTGGGTACCTCCTCCCCGGCCGCCGTCTCTGAAAGGTGCCCACCCCAGGTCTCCCACGTCTGCAAGGTCGCTCAATGTACCCCAAGTATCTGCGCGGTATCTGCCCTCCTCTACCACTAAGTATGGGCAAGCACAGAGTAGTAGACTCATGGCTCATTGTCAGTCTGTCACTCGTTGTTCTCCCCCAATCGCCCATCCCACGCCGTATCCGTCGCCGTTCCCTTTACTTTAGCCCTGGTTGTCGCCCTTCCTCGCGCACCCTTTCCCTTCCTTTTCCTTCTTCTTCAACACAAATCCAACAATACGAAGAATCACACAACCATACTGACGAGATTCTCTTGTCACAGTCAAGATAATCGCAACAGCTCTGCCAGCCTTGATCTGCCAAAAGTCACTAGCCGGACCGTCGACCGCTTTGCCTACCCGCAAAGTTCCACACTTGCTTTCGCATCCCTTCCGCTTCTAGCAGTACGTCAACAATAACCCTACCACAACCCGTCATCCCCCTGGTGACTCAACACCACCGCCAAAATATCACCATATTTTGTGTGTTGCGTGTGCACCTGCCGCCTCTCCCTACTCAGACACCAACACTGGTCATCTGCCTCGTTACTGACTTGTCCTAGACACGTCTAGAAGCATCAGACACGTCTAAACGACATCATGGCGACCATGGCAGCTGCTGCTCGCGATTTCAACCAGGCCTCCGACATGAGCCGAGACAACTTAGCTGTTGTAGCGGCTCGGAGTGTCCCTGCGACGACTGTGACACGATCTCAAGCCCTCCCCACCCCTCCCAACTCCATATCTCCCGCCCTGCCGCCTCACGGCCTCAAGGCCCAGCTCCAGAAGGCCAAGCTCGAGCCTATTGACTCCGACCTTGACCTGCACGACGAGCAGGCCCAGCGACAAGCCTCGCGCTCGCCCTCCCACGACACGACAGGCACCATCAGCACATCCCTGCTGGCCAAGCACCATCTCCCCGAGATCCTCCTCAACCACGGCCCCTTGGCCATTCGCCACATCATGGGCTACCTGACAACGTCGGTACCGGGTTTCGCAGGAATCCCCCCGACGAAGGCTCGTCGTCTAGTGGTCGGAGCGTTGGAGGGCCGCGGAGGCGAGGGTGGCGGTGTCGACGGCGACGTGGAGTTTGAGAAGGTGGGCTGGGGACGATGGGACGCCCGACGACGCGGACAGCCTTCGCGGAGCTCGCCTCCTGCAGACTACCGCTCCGGTATCCCCATTAGCAAGAACGGCGGACGCGGCACCGACAGGTCTCGCCTGAACGCTGCCTCTTCCAGCAACGGCGACGAGTCGTTCGTCTTCTCCCACGACGACCGCGACGCCATGATGATGGAATGCGAAGCGGATAAGATGTCCCTGGATGGCTCAGCGTCCGCATCGTGCTCCGAGGCTCCGGACGACGATGACATCATGAACGATGACCCTGAGGACGCTACCGATGACGAGGACTGGGCTGCTGTGGGAGCTGCCGCTCTCCGCGCCGAGTCCTACAACGCTGCCGCTCATTCGGCCGGACGCAGCTTCCTCTCCAACGGTGTATATACTTCTGGAGGACTGCGATCCGTCGCAACCGGCATGGCTCGTTCGCACCAACCTTTGCCCTTCGACTTCTCGGCGCTGGGGGCCACGTCTGACGCGCAAGAGCGTGAGGCGGTGGAGGCTCTCCTGCGACTGGGTTCTGTATAATACCATTTTGCATAGCACGGCGTTGGGGTTGGGAGATGCGCTGTGCGATCGGCCTTTTTTGGCTGATGAGAAAGCGTCTCCCTTTTTTGATTGGGTTCGGAACGGTTGGCTGGGTTGGCTGGGCCAAGCATTCCGTGTCATGATCATGGTGATTGGGCCGGCGTGCTCAACATCTCATCTCACCTCTCTCCATTGACACGGCGACACTATTTTTCTGGGTTCGGCGTCCTGGCATTGGAACGACAAACCACGCCCTCGCGCGAAGGGCAATCAATGTGGCATTGGGCACCACTTTGCATTACGATCACGGCTCTATTGGAGGATACCCCTACATCTGTCTGTCGGCTTTCGACGGATCACGCTTGGCCGGTTGGCCATTGGGACGTTCATCGCGCTCCATCTCTGGTCGAGTGTGCCCTGGCAACCCGATGGCAAGAACCAACGCAGCATGGCACGCGCTTGCAGGCTTCGGTATCTCAGGATCAGCTGCCATGGCACGGAGATCATGGACGGAGTGGGAACGATGACAGGTTGGAAAAGGCTGGCCTGACACCACACACCCACACTTCGTTTCTCTCCCATTCATGCGTATACCTCTTTTTGCACATACCCCACTGTTTTCTTTTTACATCTGCATACCCCCACTTCAACAATCGTGGAGGAACAACACAACACATCTAGGCTGGGCGAGCGTCACCTCGTCAGCCGCCCCATTTACACCCTTCTCATCACCTGTTTAATTACCTGGGGGTTTGAAGAAGGCACTATGGCTACTCGGGCTGTTTCGGCACCGAATGAGAAAAAGAAATATCGACACATACACATGCTGTGTCTTGCGGACTGGAGATGTTGGACCTGAAGTGGTCTTTAGCAACTCTCGCGGAGGACAGGACGCGTAGGAAGAGGGAAACAAAAACCCGGTGATGCTTGGCTCGCTGATATCGTCCATTTCCTGATCGGCTTTGGAGCACTATGTCTTTCGGGGCATGAGGATGAGCAGAGGAGAAAATTCGAAAAGAATTAAACAAAAAATACCTCCCCCTTTTTTGGTGAACGGCGGCTTTGGGGGTTTTCTACGCTTGGGCGGCTAGGTCTAGCTCAAAGAATGGAACTCTTGACTGTTTGGTCCCATTTGATGGTCTATCGTTATCGTGACTCGTGCTACTGTGGGTTGAGATGCGTCTGGGGGATGTGCTATAAAAGCTACTCAGCTGTTTGTCTTCGGAGTTTGCCCAAGAATGGCCGGAGGCCGGAAGGACGGCCTCGAGCCAGTGACATTGTGAGGATGATTCAAAGCATGCTCTTGTAAAGCGTATGGTCACTGACATCAACTGCATTTTGATTGTCTCGACGGCTACCTCTATTATCGATGGTTGATACGCTTGACGATCAACCATGGACGGGAGCAAATAGCAACAGGAAGATGGCAGTTATTGCACTCAGATCATACCATGAGGGGCGCTCTTGATCCCATCGACGATGAACTGAGGCACTGCTGCATCGCAAAAAGCCTGTGGATGCAGGCAGATTGGTTGACAGATTTTATCGGACGGTCTGCGACCTACCCCGACATCTCGCGGGAAGACGTGGACGCGTTGGCGGTATATAAGTGTTCCTCTGCGCGTTGACTGTCAAGTCGAGAGGCACGACCAAGAATGGTAATTCGGCGATCATCTCTTTCTAATGGATGGTGCGATGTGGCAGGCTCATACCCGAGACTATGCAGAGGTCATCAGACGCTCGTCTTGTCATGACGTCGAGAAACTCCTGGGTTGTAAGCAATACGAACAAAGAACCAGAGAGGAGGAGCAGCGGAGGTTGTCTTGAACGAAGGGGGGATCCTTCCACGGCTTAGGTTCTGCTCGGCCCTGGAGTCGTTGGTCTTTGCCAAGTGACGAGCCTTAAGATTGTGCACTACGCAATTTTCCGTCAATGGTCCTCATTGGCAACTTTAGACATGCGAGACGGCAACAGGTTTGTTTTTGTAGTTGGCATGTGTCTGGGCTTTGGCGAGGATATTTAAACGGAGGTTCTGCCGCTGAGACTTGGCTTCTTCAGCAATGTCTCCTTTTGAAGATTTCGCTTTCCTGGTGTGAACAGACTTTCCTGAAGGGATTCCACTTTTGGGGCGGTTTATTATTTGACAGGGCCCTGAGATTCGTTATCAAAGTAGGCGCCGCTGGTATTCGGTTGTTATTCTGTGGACTATACCATGAAAGACGACTGACAACGAGCCTTGCTCAAGGCAGATTGAGTTCAGGGGCTCGGAAGTCTGGTGTTGATGAGAGCGAAGAATATGAAATGAGCTCCGTTAGGGGTCTTGAAGTTCCACTTGAGGAGGTACGGATGTCTACCATTGGGGTTCCTGGCCTAGAAACCCGATTCTGCCGTTGCTTTTAAGCTGGATGACGTCTGGTTTCTTTCACCTGTGCCGCACAGCGCGGACAGTACCGTTCTAGGCAGGGGCAAGCTAGAGGATCAGAGGAAGTCTCGTGTCGATATATTAAGCCGTCTCCTGCCCAGAGACGTAACTCGCTTTAACAATGGGCCATTCGCCTTCCGGAGTTCTTTGGTCTACAACGAGCAGTTGAGTTGTGCCTTTCCCAAAACGTTCTGTCTGGCTTGGGAACGGGAACCTTGCGCGAGCGGTTCCAGGACCGATGGAGTCTTCAACTACGACCATCGTTTGGCTCTGCTGACCTCTGGGGCTTATTCAGAGGATGCATACCATCGTTGAAATCCCTTTTGAAACGAGGGCTGAAGTTTTGTTGGCGTGAAGCACGTGTATCGCAAAAGGCTTATGCTGCTTTGCTGTACTTCAAAAGCAATCAATCATGCCTTGAGACGTGGATTGCATTTGGAGCTCATCATCGGTCGAACCTAGTCGTGGTCTTTTATAGTCGCAGAATTGGGACAATTAGAGTACGGACTCAACTATTAAAGCAAGAAGTTGTTGCTGTTGACGTCTTTCTCGGAAGCAAATGCTAATCTTCGATAGGTGACTAACAGTCTCCATGAAGTGACACGCATGATGTTGGCCAGAAGGAGACTAATCAGGCTTTTCATTCAGAGTCTGTTTCCGAAGGCTGCGAAAGGTGTTCCTCCGGTCTTCGGGTCCTTCTTCTCTATGTCTTTGAGAGTATGTGACGTGTATACAATAGGGACGTAATTGACGTGAAATGGGACCCAGCAAGGCTCAAAGATTTCAGACTTGAGGGAAAGACAAGCTCACAGAAGCCGCCACTGAGACAAAGGAGATGCGGAGATCGGATGGTAAAACTGTTGCCCTGACGTCTCACTTGCAAAGCGGGCTGTAGAAATCAATTTATATCTTGGTATCAATATGTTGCATTATGTCGCTGATTCGCTATGAAGTATAAACATATCATCTACCCTAGACCAAAAACTCGTTGGGCACGTAGAGCGGCATGGAATCCTCCCACAAGCTGTCCGTCAACATGCGCTTGTTAGATCCATCAGCATCCATGACAATGATCTGGCCGTAAGGCTGGAAGGTCTGGTCGTAGATGGCGGCCTCGTCACGGAAGCCGTACATGCCGCTCGAGTACAGGATCTTCCCGTCAGCGGTCCAGACGGCGTGGGCGTCGTTGGCTCCGCTGGAAGTGAGAATCTGCAGGTCCGTCCCGTCGGGGCGGATGGTGGCGACGTCGAAGTTGGTCGAGCTCACCTTGCGGGTGAAGACGAGGCGCTCGCCGTCGGGCGACCAGAAGGGCAAGTTGTCCGTGGCGTTGGTCAGGCTGCGGACTTCGCGGGTCTCGAGGTCGAGGATGCGGATGCCGTAGCGGAGACCCCACTCGCGGAAGGCGACGTAGCGCCCGTCGGGGGAGTAGCTGGGGAAACCGGAGTGGACGGTGCCGTCGGTCAAAGCCTCGTAGTAGCTTCCGTTGGAGGTGGCACGGTAGACGCGGGCCTTACCGGTGGCGCGGGACTGGAACCAGGAGCCAAGGCCAAAGACAACCCACTCTCCGTCAGCAGACCAGGCAGGCTGGAAGGCTCCGGCGAGACCCTTCGCGACGAGGGCGGAGTCGAGCTCGCCGGTGGAGTAGGAGTCGAAGACGAGCTTGAGATCGCTTCCGTCGGGGTTCATGGAGACGATGGAGGAGTTGCCGAGCTGCTTCTGTGTGATGACGAGACGGCCCTGGAGAGAAAGCTGGGGGAAGACGTCTGTGGATCGGTACTCCCAGTCCTCATCCCAGCTGTAAAGGGGCTTCTCCTGAGCGCGCGCGGTGAAGCCGACCTTCTCGTAGACTACGAACTTTCCATCAGGGGACCAGGCCGGGGAGCGGATGGCAGCCTTGACGGCGGCAGTCGCACCGGAAGTGTAGTTGTAGCCCTCGTTATCATTGCCCTTGATCAAGTACGCGATGTTATCGGTGGCATCTGTTTCCCCAGACAACCACTGGGGGAACATCTTCAGGCCAGAGCCAGAGGCATGCTCAACACGATCAGTTCCAGTCTCAAAGTCCACGGAGACGATCGCGGAGGTGACAGCGGCGACAGACTCGGGGCGGTGCGCGTTCCATGTGTCCTCGACAGTGATCTCGTAGTATACCACGCGCTTGCCATCCGTAGACCACTTCGGGGAGCCGAGGCAGTATCCGGACTTTGTCGCAACTTCGCGGAAGCCAGTGCCGTCAGGGCGGATGGCGTAGACGGAGAGCTCCTGCGTGTGTTCCCAACCGGTTCCGTTGCCGTGACCACGCCATGCCGTGTTGCGGTCTGAGGCGAAGGCGATCCATTCGCCGTCAGGAGACCAGCTGGGGCGGAAGTATCCATCCGGCAACAACGGGTCGCCGGCGATCTCGGCGGTGTTGGTGAGGTTACGCCTCTCCCCGGTGGCCAGGTCCTGGACCCAGATGTTGGTCTTGTAGCCGTTCTCGGTCGAGACGAAGGCGAGCTGGGTTCCATCGGGAGAGAGAGCGCCGGCATCCTCGACAGACGGCGTGGCGATGAGCTTCTCTAAGTCCGAGCAGGTTCCGTTGGCCGCGGCAGAGACGCGGCACCTGTACAGGTCAGAGTTGCCGTCGCCGTTGCGCTCCGTGGTGAAGACGACCCATTGACCGTCCGGCGAGAAGGAGGCGTGGTACTCGAAGGAGGAGCTGTTTCCGAGGAGCTTCCGCTCGTTCGTGCCGTCCGCGTTGGCGATGTAGAGTTCAGACGAAGAGGGGCCGATGCGGTTCATGAGGAGAACGCCCTTCTTGCCGTCTGCGGCCGGGAGACCACGAGCGGAGTGGGCTTGCGGGAGGGCCGCAGAGTTGAAGTCTGCCCGCATCTGGTGGACATGGCGGGCAAAGGTCGAGCCTGTGGCGAGGCCAAGGACAGAGTAAAGGAGTGAGGACCGCATCTTCGGGCAACCTCGAGGAAGAAACGAACGAGAGGAGAAAGGCTGGGTGGCGAGTAGGAGAAGAGGAGATCTATGAGGCCGCTACATGTTGTCGTCTTATATGTATTGCGCTCTGCACAGCCTGCCTGCATTCGCCATCGAGCGCATTTGGAGATTCAACGCCGAAGTTCGACATTGACGAATTCTTAATCGACCAGGGGTCCAGGGGATCGGCACCGAGCCCAGATCAGTGCGAGTTCATTGGTGTCCATCGAGACTACAACGCTTCCTTCCCGCACAATTGCCGTTTTCCGCCTGCGGAGGGCGATTAAGGTCTTGGCAGCGTGGGAGGCAAGGGTCGTGGCAAGAGCTTGTTTAGACAGTTGGCTCCGAAAAGAGGTTGAAGAGGTTGTAGCGAAGCTTCCTCAGCGCGATGCTATTCGATCGCATCTGCCCCACTCACGGGCCTCGGATAGCTCCCGCCTGCAAGTGCCTGGAGTGGAGGACCCGAGCCTATGGAGAGGTTCCCATCCTCCTGCTTGATTAAACGGACGCATGAGGAAGGGGCCCAATAGTGATTTTGTGATTTTGCATCACCTGCGTTCTTTGGAAGAGTACCGAAGTCCGATGAAGAAAATAAGTAGGAGGCCTGCAAAGAAAAAAAAGTCATGCAACGGTGCGGGGGTGATGCGAACACCAACCGGGGGTTTTCGTGTACGGCACCTTTGATGGAGTGATGTTGAAGTTGACTTGTCTTATCAATCAGTTTCTTTTCTGCAAGAACGATCTAACTTGATCCACCCCTGTCTCGAGCGAGAGGTTTCCTACTGAGTACGGCGTATTCATGCCGGCCGAATCGGCGGCGAGAGTTTCCACCTTGAGAAGCTCGGCCTCGGTCGAAGACCAGCAGTCGGGTTGTCAAATTTCATGGCCCCGTAGTGTGCAATTCTTTTTGATAATATTTTGTGGCAGTTTACCACCTATTGGAATACCATCTAGGTCTACGGCAAGTCAGTCCTCACACGCCAGTGCGTGGTCGACCTCTTCGGCCAATTGATTAAGCGAGGTTGAAAGTTTGATGTGTTCACGTCATCGTTCCAGGAAACAGAACGTCCCCAACCAATAGAGAACTAAGCTTACATAGATAGTCGACATGGAAATCTGTGCAGTCAAGTTATCTCCAAAAACAGAACATTCACAGCTTGATTACTATGCAAAATAGTATCTTGTTTTTCAGCACGTTGGTGATCGCCTGGTTGAGATTTGGGAGGGCAAATGCAATGTTAGCCATATTTACGACAAGGGCAACGGAAGAAAACTGGCGGAGAAGTTCTATAGCATCGACAGCTCCAACGCTGCATTCCACAACCTCATGAAGGACTTTCTCCAGCGTATCGTCAACAAATACTTCTTCGACGACACAGACAACAAAGACAACACAGAAAACACCAAATTGCGCGTCAAGGAGATTGGCGCCGGTATGGGAGTCGTGGCAACATGGTTGGCGCCCCTATTGAAGGAAAAGATTGGCATCTCCAACGTGACGTACTCCTTCACCGACATCGGGCATCGTCCAATCACTCAAGAACATCCGCCAACATCTTCGAAAGGAAGGCGGCATCGTCCTTTTGCTCAAGACAACAGAACTAGACTGCTGCTGGACGGACTTCCTCTTTGAATTTACGGAGAATTGGTGGAGCAGGAAGGACAAGAGGGAACACGCCCTGCAGTGTGAGGTTGAGTGGCACAAGGCCTTGTTCGAGGCCGGCTTTACGATAGTCGAGCAGACCACAGGTAGCTGCGGGGACTCGAGATTTCAGACGCTTTTCATGGCGTCCACGCACCCGAAGGATGCAGCAAAGCCACCCAAGGCTTAGAGAGTTTTGGGAAGCAATGGAACATGTGGTCAGGTAGGAACGGTGGTATATAACTTCATTTTGAATTGCTGGTCATTAACGATTCATTCACTGAAATATCATCAGGACAATGTTACCCGGAATATAACACAATGCATATGTAACTGGCACTCTGTGTATTGTTCCTTCGTCCCAGAACCTGCCCATAGATCTTCCATTCCAAAATCCGTGTTGTTTCCAGTCATTTCGGATAAAGAATCCTCGCAGATGTCCGGGTCCCGATGATGATATATGCCCAGCGGGTTGTCACATTCATGTGGCACTGCTGCTAATCGCAGTAGTCGTGGCCATGCCCTTGGGTGGTACGACTGCTGGGTAAGGGGTGATTGAACCGTCACCCCACGCGTTAAGGGCCCTTCCACCGTCTTCTTCGTATTTAGCAGCCGCTTGAAAGCCAAGATTGAAGTTATCGCCCATATCGATCCCTATGGTGTGCCAGGCGAAGATGCCGTCTGCCAGGTCATTCGTCAAGTACGCATACTTGAGGAAAGGGTCATAAGGCCCCAAGTCACCAACCGTGTTGCCATTGATCGTCTTGTTTTCGGCCAGAATGTAATCATCCACATTTTTGAAGTTGTCCTTATCTGTATTGGTGTTGTAAGGCCAGATTGGGTCAACGGCATCACGTAGCTTCTGCTCGTAATACAGCTGCCCTACGTAGCGCACAAAGGTGTCGTCTGTTGCGAGACCACCAGCTACAGTACCCTTCAAATCGTCAGCATTCTGAAAGAGCAAAGCACCTCTGCAGAGCGCACACAACTCCGAGCGCAACAGGATGAAAACATGGCAAAAGCCATCATCAGTGGACTCACATTGGCAAACGTTGTAGCATTTCCCCATGCCACAATATGTGTATGTGTGGCGCGAGGGTAATAGTGTCCAGGTATAATTAGGTCGAAACTCGCCACACCGTGTTCGTCTGTGATCTGGATGCCTCGTAGAAAGGTGGAGTTGAGACCGCCGAATCCGCTGAAGCCTGCGGGCGAGTCCGCTCCAGAGTAGCCACCCGTTGCATTAGCACCCCAGATGTCGATGAAGAGGGCGGGAACTGGCTTGCAAGTATTGACATCAACGAACTGTATCTCCATGTGCATCGGTATGCCGATCTGGTCTTCGGTGATGTTACTGCGAATGAGCTCGCCCTCGACGTAGTAAGGGCCGATGGTCTCAGCTCGACCCAGTACGCAAGAGGCATTCGAACCAAACAACTCTTCGTAGGATCCGCTCTTGACCATGGACGTCAGATTGTGGTTGAGGGAGTCATAGTAGGATACCTCTGCCTTGTTACGGCGCTGTACGTCAGCTTGGGGCGTGAAGCCCCTTTCTTGCCGTAGGCGCTCCAAGGTCCCGGCGCGTCGTTGGATGGCGCTCTGCCTGACGGATCCCGAGGTATCGGCACAACGACTCATCTTCTCAGCCCCGGCGATCGCTGTTCGCTTATGGAAGGCATGTTTTCGCTCCAAATGGGATATATCTGGGTGGTGGTCGCCCGGGTGTGCAGCGGTGCCGCCGACAAGCAGCACTGTAAAGAGTGTGATAGAAGTCAGAATGCGAACCATGTTGATCTTGGTTTCAGGAAGACTGTTGAAATGGTTGGTTTTGCTCTGATGATGTGGGTAACTGAGCCGACGAGGGCAAGCAGAAGCCATCCTCTTTATACGCATGACAAAGCAATAGAATTGGTTTGCCGCATTTACCTGCTCGATATCTGATTTCCTTCTTCAGTCAACAACCGAATCCATCACGATGTTCTCTTGCTCATGTCAGCGGAAATTTGACGTCCCTGTGACTCCGAGAGAAGGTTGAAATGGCTGAGAATCGTCATCCCCTGTCCTGTACTACATAATCTAAGCTAGGTAGCAAGCTGGCTAGGCCGTGCCGCAAAGACATAAGACCCACCAGAAGATTGCATTGGTAGAAGAAATAGCCCCCTCCCTTGCGACCGGTATACACTATAATAAGATTCAAGTTTTAATCATCAAGAGTGCGTCTTCTCTTCCCGACTTCCTTGAAGTATCTACCTCAAAGTGACGCTACGTAATATAACACACCATATTGGTCAGCTTTCATAATGCGCGGCGTTCTTCTTGATTGAATACCATCTTTGACAGAAGCAATTCCATCTGCAGAACAGTGCTTTTATGTTGCAGCATTCGCGTGCTGTTTCTCCGTACTATCGTAGACTCTCCGCTGCCGCATGTAAGCTGTGCTGGGTAGGTTCTGAACAGCGCTACATAGTAGGCTAGTATGAAATCTACATTCTCAGGACCTGTAACGAACGAGGCCGCTTACGGCAGCGGAGTTTTAGCTGAACGAAAGTGTACGGGGGGCATTTCTGTTAGAAAAGGTTATCCTATAGTCGCGGGGGTGCGTAGACCTGTGATTGGTAAAATAGAACATCTGATTTGAGGCGTAGCGCGCGCTAGGACTGCTAGACCGGGTCTTTACTGTTACTGCGGCGTGCGGTAAGTGGGTTCCTTAATCTTTGCTGTGATGCCGTCCGGAGTTATCATGCTCAATCGGTCAAAGTTCCTGCCGTGCGGACTTAATCCAGTCGTGTAACTGCGTCTGTCGTTCGGACTTATCGCTTTGGGTCACAGTGCACCATGTTGGCAAAGTCATCTGGAAAAAATTCTTTGGTTCACCCAGAAGTTGCCAGTGAAGGTTGGAGTAGTCTCCGGGTCAGTAATGACTCGCGAATGTCTGGTGTAGTGTGCTACGTTTGTTTTTGCTCATTCTTTTTTGGTGGACATTTCGTCCCTCTCAAACATCATAGCTTAGTGTCTGAATCGTTTCTGATATGCTTTCTGAGGAACTGACTATTCCGTCGCTTCTTCAAATTCAAACTGAAAAGCTAACAATGTGGCTGTCCAACTTTGCCTTATGTTTTCCATTCATTTTGGGTGTTCCATGGGAGGATAGTTGCTAGCTAGTGTTCATCCGGTCCGCGTAGGCCTCAAACGCCGGCCTTGGATCGAGCTCTGTCGTACCTGCAAGGGCCACCCGAGTTAAGCGCCGCCAAATCGGCTCAGTCCCATGGGAAACCAACCTGGCGCCACCGATGGCATTACTGACACGGCATGTAAGTCCGCTTCATTTCTTGACGACTGTGGAGTGTCCGTTGCTCCAGCTCTTTCCTCTCACGTCCGTCTCTCTAAAGTTCTAAACGAGTCGGCGAGACCCATCTAGGACATCGTTATGTTCAATTGTAGGCCTGATAGCCGGGTGGATAACTACCTCTTGATTAACTTTAACTATCATCGTCGCTATTTCTATCCTTCTCTCTATCCTTATAATTATCGTCGACATTATTGTTATCGTCGTCGTCGTTATTGTCGGTCTTATTGTCGTTTTCGTCGATTATCCCTATCCATTTTATGATACGGCCAAATTCATGATCAGAAACGGACAAACAAGCTTCGAAGCTTCCTCCTGCCTTGACTTGCCCGTACTTGCGTCAGCAATTTTGAGTTGTAAGACATGCTAATTACTTTCAGAGCTTGCGCAGCGGTAACACGACATCAAGCTCTGACCCTACAGTTTGTGGAATCTTCAGCAGACTATGATTCGACTGAGCCTGCTGCCTGGATGACCAGCGAGGACTTCTAAATAACTGAATTTTGAGGTAAAGAAGTGGGATGAGAGAGGAAATTTGAAGCTGATGAAGGGCGTCATCTAAAGCATGTAGGCTCATGATGATCCTGGCACACACAAACATGACTACCACAGACTACAAATGGCTAAGGGCTTGCTTCAACACAATAGACATAACATGTAATAACGCAGTCAGTACTGAGGTCAGGAATAATTTGGCACGTTAAAAGCTCCTGAGGGGTTGTGTCATTTTGGCACATCAAATCAGTGAGACCACTACAACAGACTGTCATGAGAAACGTTCTGTGCACAACTCCTTAATCGTAAATGACGCTGTCTTTATAGTTTCATCCTTCGCCGTCTAAACTTTACATTACATATTGTGATTTGACCTTTGACTGCGCATCTAATAACCCTCATCTGACTGGTATCATTCTTTGTCAGTGTGACATTGATTCAAGGTTACGACCTGTTCTCATCACACCTTAGTTCCTAATAAATACGAGTAAAACTTCACTACAAGAGTCTTACCATCGAATCGAAAACTCCCAAACCACATTAGAGCCCATCTTGCCCTAGCAGCACGTATCGTGCAGACCCTGTTGCCAGCTGAACGTAGAGCAGGAAGAAGATGAGAGTCATGGCTAAAGTAGCGACCAAAAGCGCCACGCTGGTTCTCAATCGTCGCACCTTTCTCCTTAGGGCCTCAAGCTCGTCTTCTACCGTCTTAACCGGGGGCGGATCATCCGGAATTTGGCGCTCTTCGTCGTTGGTAGATGACGACACTCGTGACTCATCCCGCCGGACTGCTTTGTACTGTCCTCGCTTCGACTTGAAAGAACTCATTTTGGAATGACGATAAAAGGAACCCAAGAGATTAAAAACGAGACACGCTATTGGAAGAATGTTATCGGTAGGAAGAATGTCGTGAAGCCAGGACTGTTGAGATTCTACTGTTGAGGAGGGGTCGGCAAGGATCCTAGCTGGAGGGACGGCATTAAGGTTCGGTCAAGACTTAAGTTGGCCGGTTCGGTCCGATATGCTCGGTGATAAGAGGACTCCCTCGCGCAAAACTCCTGTCACCGTGAGACATCGATTATCTACCAAGAACTGGCCCTGGCGTTTTAAAACTGCTCAGAACTGATTCCCAAGCCGAGGTAGTGAAAAAAGACCTGTGCACTGACTTCCATTCGTGTTCCTTCATCATAGCGTAGTCAGGCGATGTTTTCCTCAAAGGAGTGAGTCGTTTCATAAAACTTAGTTGATATCTAACTCCGAAAACCAAAGGCACGTACAGTCTAAAACATAAAAAATCTACTTGTTCATGAAAAATTCCTCAAAATCCTCATCGGGTAGCGCAGGCTGCTCGTCCACGCCATCCAGCAGGCCCAGATACCAGCTCAAGTCCCTACCGTCCTGCTCACGAACCGCGAATCCGTTGCCCCAGTACCCGAACCGATTCGTCGTGGTGTACTTGAGCTCGTAATCCTCCCACCGCGGGGTGTTGATTGTCTCGAAGAACTGAATTCTCGAGCCAGGCCACATCATCGGCTCGCCGTCGACGGTGCCCTGCTTGAACCACGACCTACAGGGCGAAGTCCACGCCGTGCGCGGGAGGAATTTCCTGCGGTGCTCGACGAAGTCGTTGACCGCCTCCTGCCTGGGGCAGAAGGATGCAACCTCCTCCTCGGACATTTTCTGCAGCAGTTGCATGACGTAGCGGGCAACTGCCTCGGTGATGGGGAGGAAGCTTCCGTGGCCGTAGGGTCCGAAGGGCCCGTTGAAGACTTGGCTCAGTGTTAGCCAGCAGATTCCTTCGATTGGAGGATTTTGAGGTTGCTTACTGATGTAGTTAGGCATGTTTGCCACTGTCAAAGACAGATATGTGTTTGGCGTCTCCTTCCAGTACTCGCTGAGACTGACGCCGTTGCGGCCGATGGTGGGATAATGCGGGCGCCAGCTGACGTCGAACCCGGTGGCGCAGACGATGATGTCGAACTCGTGCTCGGTGCCGTCTGCTGTCTTAATGCCCTTGGGTGTGATTTCCTGGATACTTGATGACACGACGTTCACGTTCTCTTTGCAGAGCGCCTCGAGGTAGCCGTTACCGGGCGTCGGTCTGCGGCAGCCGACGGCGAAGTCTTTGGGGATGATGAGGTCTTGAAGATCAGGTCTGGGCGCAAGCTTGGAGCGCATGTCCTTCTCCGCGAACTGGACGACAAGATGGTGAGCGGAGGTGTTCTAAGGGGACGAGCAAAGTGGGTTCACTTACATCTCTGGCATCTTGTTGCTCTTTTGACCCGTTGAGGATGAAACGGAAGCGGGAGTTGAGTTCTGACTCGATCTTCTTCCTGTACGCCAGGTACTTCTTGGGGTCGTTGCGGAGGATCTCGTGTTGCTCCTCGCTGTCTGCAAGCAAGCGAGTCAGCTCCGTTAGACTCGAGTTGCGCGGACGAACCACTTACACTTAAAGTTGCTGCCATTCTTTCCGGCAAACCGTTGGCCAAAGCCACCGACAACCCATGAAGAGCTACGAATGAAACAGCTCAAGCTGCCAACGACTATGCACAATCAGCACCTGGATTTGTTCACAGAAGGAAGGTAACTTACTGGGCTGGATGTTGGGAACGATTTGAACCGCAGAAGAACCGGAGCCGATGACGCCGACGCGCTTCCCCTCGAGGGAGATGCTGTTGTCCCAGTTGGCGCTGTGAAGCATCTTTCCCTTGAAGGTTTCCCTGCCCTTGATGGCGGGCCATTTCCACTTGCTGAGAGCATTTGGTCAGACCACGATCGACCGTGAGAAAGTTGACGAGACTTACTTCAAAACACCGCTCGCATTGACAAAGATGTCGGCAGTATCTTCAATGACGGTGCCATCCTGCTGCTCGACACGAATGTTCCACTTTTGCGTGGGTTCGTCCCAGAAAGCACCGACAACTCTGTGGTTGAGGCGGATGTACTTATTCAAATCATACTTTTCCGCGACATCCTTGAAGTACTGAAGAATCTCAGGGGCACTCGAGTAACTTTGTGTACCTCGTCAGCAGAAACGCTCCCCTGGTCCGGATTACTCTAATCTCTTTACTCACAATTGCGTCCACTCAGGCGAAGGCGCCCAGGAGAACTGGTAATTGACCGAGGGAATGTCACATCCACAGCCCGGGTAGCGGTTCTCGTACCACGTTCCGCCGATAGACGGGTTCTTCTCGTAACACACAAGCTCGAGATCGAGAGTGTTGCATGTGCTGACCTCATGCGCGAGGTTGAGAGCGCTCGCGCCGCCGCCGAGACAGACGATGCGGAGCTTCCGGCCGCTGCGGCTCGGCTTCTCCAAGATCTTGTACTCGGGCTTTACCGGGGCGGGGAGAGAACCCATGTTTGCGCTTATCAACTCCGGGGGGTTGAACAGGGGGCGGAGAAGAGTTGGTCAGGGGTATTGGTCTGGGTTGTTGTTGTGAGTGAGTTGTGACTTATGAAAAGAAAGAAGCTGCTGCGACTGCCTCAGAAGCGATAACATGTTATCTTTCGGGAAGATCATTCTTATATGGCAACTTGAGACTTTGGTAACACGATTGGCGATCCGTCGTACCCCGCGAGTGCGGCGTTAATTCGCGTCCTCATGCTGAGCCTGCGGAGCTCCGCTCAAGACAAGCGCGTGATGGTTGAAGAGCCATCTCCACTTATTGCGATGGTTGTCCCCTTTCACCCGCGGCCTTCACTCCGCCGCCACCTCCGCCTCCGCCTCCACCGCAGTCAGCGCAGGAATACCTCGAATATCTGCCGCGGAAAGTGTGTTGGCTCGCACTGTATTATCGGCAATCAGGGTGGAGCAGAGGAGACGGACCAATCTCGAGGTGGTGCTGGGGACCATTCGGAGGCGACTTAGTAAGAGCAATCCTGGGGAACCGATAGCGATAACCTTGAGAAGTTGTGTAATTCGGATTGGTTTAGAGGAAGCGGGACTAGTCCTTGTAATTGACGACAATCGGTCACGATATACGCGTTCCAGGACATAGGAATCAACAGATTGAATCAGATTTCCTGGTAGAATGCTTGTTAGGAACATCAAAGGCATATACACAGCTTGATGGCAAAATGTCTCATGAATTTGATCAATTTATCTTCAGAAAGACGAAGAGCTATCCAGCACAACGAAAGAGAGAATCCGTTTTCAGCCCATATCCTCCCGTCTCCGCTTTCTGCTCTTCCCCTGTCCATCTCTTTGATCAACCCATTCAAGCAGCCGGGGTCCAGGGGTATCCAGGCAAGTACTTCTCGCCATAGCTGAAGGGGCAGTAGACCGCGGGGCAGTTGCACTCCTCGTCCTTGGGGATTGCACTGCACTTGACGGGGAAAACCTCCGAGTTCGGGAAGCAGCAGCAGCACTGCTTCTGCGTCTCCGGCTCGTGCGGGCACAGCTGCAGGGTGCAGATGGGGTCCTCGGCGCCGCCCTGTGCCTCCGGAACCTTGCAGTTGTACCCGGGGCGGCTGCTGTCGCAGCAGCAGAGGTTCGCGGCGGGGCGCGGGGCGTCGCGGACGTCGATGTCGGCCGGGGAAGCGGCTGTGGGGCCGGCGTTGAGGAGGAGGACCAGGGTGGCGGTCGTGATGTTGGCGATGGAGAATCTCATTTTGGTGGTTTTGAGGTGGGTGTTTGCCTGGGAGGAGACTTGGAGTGATAATATGGATTATGTATTAGGACTTAAGGGGATGTTTTGTGTGGAGTTTGCTTGTGTCTTGTGTGATGAGAAAGAAAGAGGCCCTCGAGGTTTGGTTCCCTTTGATGGTTTATATATCCCCGCGGTCACACACAACAACACACAGCGCAGTTGGTTTCGACCAGCAATTCTTGTTGCTCTGTGTCGTTCAAAGGTAACAAGTCAACGATGACAACATCGCCAAGCATGACCATAGATCATTCGGGATGCGTAGTATCCTACCTTACCCTCGACGGAGCAGCACACACCGAGCGTAAGACAGAGTGAGCACCTCTACTTGCAAGCTTGCAGCTTAGTAGCAAACCGTTGTGGTAAGTTATGTCTCGAAAAGACTAAAATAACATTGCCCAGACGAACAAGTCTGTCGATCAGCGCCCGGTATGGACTCCAACTCGCTCCCTGCAAAACCTAAAGGATCGGGTCGTTAGCGCTTCGAGTTTTTCTCTTTACCTTACCCCTTACGACCGTTCCGCCTCTGGGATCTCAAGTGACAGGCGAATCGGCGTCTTTCCACTCTTCGCGTCTGATGTATCGTATCGTTGAAGATGTAACCGAACGAGGAAATTCGGGGTAGGGCTGCTTACAACTTCGCCCCGGTGGGCGGTGGCCATCGCACCGTTTGCTTGGCAGTTGGGTCAACGAGCTGTGACTTCAAGGTCATACTCTGGGGACATGCTAATGAAGGATTAACATTGGGTGAATTCATCTTGAGCTCGGCTTCCAAGTGGAGTGATTCCTCGGAAAAAGGGCCGACCACAGGGCTGACTTGTCACTTGTGTCACTTGTCGGAGTCCTCGGGCCGGTGAAATGTCAGCTCTGGAATGTTTGAAGGGATGAGAAAGACAAGCAGGACCCAATAGGTATAGACGTCTCACGGCGCCCGTGTTCTGCCAAGAAGCGTCATGAGGTTTGCTGAATGAGGTTTGTGTTACGATGGCTTGGAGTCCAGGCCAGCTTCGGCGACTTTGGGATCGTTTGTTGCCGGTTGACATCGGACTCTAGGAGGTCAACCTGCTTCTGCTCCTCGCATGCTAGTAGCATTCCCCAGATGCATCCTCAAGCCAGATCATCGTGCCAATCTTCGACGTCTGAACATGGTCAGCAAGATGGTAGCAGATCTAGACAACG